CTCTACTGACCCACCTGCTGCTCCCCTCAGCAGTATGTTTCAGTACATCTGCCTGTTCTTTGATGAATCCTTTAATCCTCTCACTGTCCCTGCACCTCTGGCCTGTACCCCAGTTCTGTGTGCATAAATAAATAAATCTTTAAAAAAAACCCATCTGTTAAAAAAAAAAAATTCAGTACCTACCTGAGATCACTCAGCCTAAAAAGGTTAAGGATACATACCAAGCCAGATTCAAAGTCTGCTCTTTTTTATTTTTTTTAAAGATTTATTTATTTATACATACAAGAATTGGGGTATAAGCCAGAGGTGCAGGAGTTGAGAAGATTCATCAGTGACAGAGCAGGGAGCAGAACAGGCAGACTGACTGGAATACACTGCTGAGGAGAGCAGCAGGCAGGACAGGAGAAGTCTGCCATACCATGTGGGTCAGCTCCTTGGCCAGGGATTGAACTCATGCTACAGAGGCTGCGGGTAGCTTCATAGTGCTGTGCTTTAACCCACTGAGCCACCAGGAAGGGCCCCAAAATCTGCTCTTAATCACCATGCTGCACTGGCTTCAAATTTCCACTGTCCTGTTATGCTTGGCTTTTCCCATGTTTTATTTCCTGGGTTCCAACAGTAAAAATTTCTTGTAGGTTAGTACAATGAAGTTCTTGGTTACCTTCTCCATGGTTGTCCAGGCCTGACGTAATGGAGTTGTAAAACAGTTAGGGAGTGGTCCACCTTCCCTGCAGATATTGGATTCAATTTCTAAACGTACAACATCATCAAATCCAAGAGGATGTGTGGCTTGGAGGGAGAAGTACCTATCACATAAAGATAGCCAAGGTAAAACCAAATTCCACAGCAAGTATAAGCAACTTCTGGCACTTACACCAGAGAATTTTCTATGACATCAGTTGATTGAGTCTGTAGATTTAAAACTACAGGGTTAGGTGACAGAAATCCTGCTGCAACATTTCTTCCCATGGCCCCAAAGATATCAGAGTCATTTTGCTACCTTCCTGTCTGCCTTCTATCCTTAGTTCTTGGTTAAGATTTTCGAGGATCAAGCTACAACGGAGGCAAAGAAACCAATGAATCACACATGTTTAACAGATACCCATTCTTTATTCAGGATTTAATAGACAGAGTAGATTTTTAACAGGGCAAAATGTGGTAAACTCATCCCTACAAAGAAAGCAAAAGAGACCTCTCCACAGGATGCAATGAGAACATACAATTACAAGATATACATAACATACATGTAGAAATTCAAAGCATTTAAATAGAACAGGACTTGCCAATAATTGGGTATAGAAAGGAAAAGGAATAATCACTGATAAACCACAGATTTCTAATTGCATGATATTATGCTACTAGTGTTTTTGGTAAGATGATTGTAAGTGGATACAAAAAAGGAAGAGTGGCATTGGTGGTTTAGTGGTGAGCATAGCTGCCTTCCAAAAAAGGAAGAAAAAAATGTACATTCTCTTTCAAGTATACTAGTAGTTCTTTACTCCCATCTATGATACAAACACAGAAAGGTTCACGACCCATTATAATTTATCTACAAAACAAAACAAACAGGAACTGGTAAACTTAAATCTGGCACCATGAACTCTGCAAAATGACAGTGGTAGTGGGACAACAGAGTTCCCAGGGGCCTCCCTGATGGCGGAAAGGGTTAAAAGTGCAGCATTATGAAGTGATCCCCAGCCAGGCAGTAGGCCCACATGGGTGTATTTCATATGATCTGCCTGTTCTGCTCCACACTGTCTCTAGTGAATCCTCTCATACACCCTTTACCTCTGGCCTGTACCCCAGTTCTTATATGCATAAATAAATAAATCTTTTAAAAAAAAAAAAGTTCCAATGTAAAAGTGTGATCCAGTGGGAAAGGAGATCTCTGATCTGTGCTGTTACTGAGTTCCAGCCAGGACCTTATTAGTAATTACTTCGTTCCAGAAAAAGATAACTTTTCTTACTTTTGTTATCAGTGTCTTCTAAACAAAAAGTGAGTCTACCATCTTACAATAAATAAGATGATAAATATGCCTCCATGACTTGAATTCTAGAGTACCCTAGACCAAGTTTCTTTTTATTACTTAAAGACTTTAGTTATGCATACAAGAACTGGGGTACAGGTCAGAGGTACAGGGGGTGAGAGTATTCACCAGAAATAGAATCGGGAATAGAACAGGCAGACTAACTGAAACACACTGCTCAGGGGAGTGGGGTTGGGGTGGGGGACAAGACAGATCTGCTGTGCCATGTGGGTTAGTCCCTGGCTAGGGATCCAACTCATGCTGCAGTGGCTGTGGATAACTTTACAGTACTATGTTTTAACCTGTTGTACCACTGGGAAAGGCCAAATTTCTAAAAGTAAACTCATCCTATTTCAATATCCATACAACATTACTCCTTATATATTATTTTCCACAATTATACTAAAATAGTGGACAAACCTTAAGAACTGCATTCCAGTCCCAGTTTGCCTGCCACTAACTGGAGAAAGTCACTATCTCTCTGGGACTTAGTGTTCTTATCTCCAAAAGTAAACATCAGATTAAATACCTAATCATCTGGATTATCTTCTAAAAAAGATTTCCTGGGTCACACCTCAACCCTGCTGAATCAGTCTCTTATTTAACAAGTTTCCAGGTGAATCAGTCTCTTATTTAACAAGTTTCCAGGTGATTCTTATGCAGACAGCCTAGTTGAAACTTCAGACTAATGTTTAGTATCTCTGACCTAGTTGCCTTAACTTTCTTTCAAGTATCAATGGGTTTTGCCCATCCCTTGGCACTTGCTATGGCTACAAATAAAATTTTCTTTACAGAAGATTAGTTTAATATTAAAGAAAACGCCAGATGCTATAGAACTGGTGATAACCTTATCACTTAACTGACCACATATTTAACTGACCACATATTTTCAATTCTGTTCAATGGAAGTTTTTGTCACCTTTTCTTTTTCAGTGAAGACTAATGAAAACTTACTGTTCCTTGAGTATTATGGCTCAGCAGATGTGCACCAGACATTTTTTATACATTCAAACCTATTCAAAACTCCTTTACAATGTATTTCAATTAGTTTCACTTTCCTCTCATGTCTCCTACCCTCCCTCTCAACTACCCAAACTCAAGTTTCTCCAAAGTGCCACACTGCTCCTTGCTTCTATGACTTTGCTTGTGCCAATGCCTTTCCCTAGATTGCTCTGCAAAATTCAATTCTTTTTCAGGGCCCAATCTATGAAACCTTCCTTGAACTCCATGACTAACATCCTACTTGCCATACTGAAAAGCAGTTTTTATGCTGCTCCCTGTGAATTCCTTGACAGCAGAGACAGACTTTATTACTCTTTATTTCCCAAGTACTTATTAAATGCTCAGTAAATATTTGCTGAATATTGAAGACAATTCTGGTAAAACTCACTTGTCATATAAAATCATGGCATCATTCTGGGCTTCCTGTCCATCATATTGGCCCTTTTTGGCAGCAAGCTGAGACTGGAAGTTATCTGCTGCCAACCAGAACTGTAAGATATTTACTGCATCTTCTTTTTCCATGTACTAGGAAGGAAAAATACAAAAGAGGAAAATAAGACTATGAACAGTTGTGCTTGCTATCTCTAATATGTAAGTTCCAACTATTAAGATTCAAGAAAAAAGATCGACTTGCTCAGTTAATGACAGTCAGCAATTTAGTCATTTTAAGACTGAAATATTTTAAAATATTCCTTTAGGGAAAACAAAGAATAAAAACAACCACACCATAGCTGATACAAACTTTAGTGAACTGGAATAAAAACTGCAGTAAAGACACCTTAGGTATTCCTTGCTGGTAAACATACAAAGAGTAAACTAGCCAGACAGACCAATTCTCTAATATCTGATCATTTCCATCATTCCATGCAGTCATATTAATCTGAACAAAACAGACAAGCTTATCGCAAAGAGAGGGAATGAAAAAACATATTAACTCAACAGCTGTATGTTTATGAAGAAATAGAATGCGAGTCCATATCCAAATTACTGCTTTGTGAGGCTGACTTCTCTTTATCTCTACTTAATAGTGATATGTTTTGCAAAGAAAGAATTTCATTTGCTGAAATCTAACAAATAACGATTATACTAAATTATTTGCCTCAAAGAAATCAATATACTCCTTGCTTGTTGCAAATACTTCAATGAGTAATCCTATCAAGTTACTAAAGTAAAAGTAATGTGATAGAAAAAAGCAAGCACTACTTTTCTTTCTTCTGAAGTCATCTGCAAATATTAATACACAAGCAGTAAATTCTATTTTAAAAATCTTCAAATTAAAACATGCATTCTCCTATAATAGAAATTTATTAGATTTTTCAAGATTACTGTTATTTTACAATGAATTTTCTTTTTTTTAAATTCTGACTAAACTGCCTTAAAGTTCTCTTATTGTTAGATACAGTTGTTAAAACAGTAATAAAATTATTTAAACCCAACTTATCTTTTTTGGAAATAACATCTCTTCTGTTATTTTCCACAGAATGTCCCAACCTTTATACTTTAAAGGCTGGAATGCTCTAGAGTGTGAAAGGAAATGCAGACTTTACCTCAGAGAAATAAAAGAGGGCTGACTCACAGAAGAGAATGTCAGCCAGGTAAACAGTTCCACTGGTCAGCACTTCAATCTGGTATTTACAGAAATGGTGACTTCGCAGAAACTCACTAAAGTGCCTGCACATGGACAAAAAAACAAAAATTTGAGGGGATGACCATGGAAAGAGTTTAACTGGGAAAAAAATATGTTCTTTCTGTATGGTGCTTAGAGTAACTTAAAAACTAGGTCAAAGTTAAGACACCTTTTTCATAGTGTAGGTCCTAATTCCTCTCCCTGTAAGTAATCTCTCCCACCTCTTAATGACTTTGAAGCTCTCTTCTGATAATTTAACACATGATACCTCATATTATAGTAACCAAAGAACATGGTTTATTTTTCATATTAGGTTGCAACTTCCTTCAAGCAGGTACTATATCTAATTGTGCTTTGCACAGAGTACCTTTTCCGTAAATGTTAAATAAAAGAAAACATAAGATTTATTTAAGAGCATGCAGCAATTAATCTAAAAAACTAAATCAACATGATTTAATAAAATATGATCCATTCAGCCTAAAACAGCACTAACAAATTACAAAATCTATTTGAAGACATGCATTGTTTAAATAAATAAAACAATTCTATTATTCGCACTACAGCCATAATCATCCTCAAAAGACTTTAGAATTAAAAATAAATTCTTTTAACTCAGGAGACACTAACATTAAAAATGAAGACTTGTTTTACTTTTAATAGTTTATATAACTTACATTTACTAGAAACCACTAATTAAGATAGTCCTAGAGTCTGCTATGATATGACCCAAAATAATTAAATATCCAGACATTTTGTTTTTATTGAAGCCTATTCTTCACACTGAGCCAAACTCCCAAGAATGCAAAATATGAAAGTATGAAAATAACTTACTCTTGTTCCATTGCACTAAAGACTATAGACTGTGCCAAAACAAAACAGTTGGGATCTACCTGTCCGTCCTCTCCACAAATCTTTGCTGGAAAAGAAAAGGGCAAAATAATTAAAATCCAAACTGTATACATTTGTGAATCAAAGCAGAAGATTAGGTCATGTACATTATAAGATAAGTAGGGAAGGTCTTTCTAAGCATGTATGTAAAAGCAAAAACCAAAAGATATAACAACATTGAATTTCTACACATTAAAACAATCTCAAAACAAATACACAGGCAAACAGGTATGGGGGCGTGACAGTAGGAGGAATCTGCAGCATGTATGACAATTTAGGTATGACAAATGATTGGTTTATATACGTCAAAAGCACCTACAAATTAGTAAGAATACCCCAAAAGGACATGAAATGACAAGTCAAGTACCAATTAATACAAAATAGGCACTATGAGAAAATAATGCATGCTTATTAGTAACCAAACACACACAGTTAATGTTAAGAATAAGGAGGCACCCCCACCTTTGTCTCCTAAACTGACACAAAAATGCTGTAACAATCCATGTTTAACTGCTAATACATAGGATGGATGCTTGAGTAAGGGCCTGGGAAAACTGACACTTGTATAAGTGGGGGTATAAATTGGCATATCTTTTCTCCATAGAGTAATTTGGCAGAATTCTAGCATAAGCTTTAAAATGAACCTATCCTTTCAATCAGAAACTCTACGGCTGTAACCTAAAAAAAATCACGGATTTATGAAAAGATTTGCCTGTAAAGGTTTATCAAAATGTTATCTGTATACACTCAAAATATACTAAATTATTAATTACCTCCACAAAATTTATCAAGTCAACAAGGTGTTTAGCTAGCTATTAAAAGTGGCTGGAATAAACTATATAACCATCGCTGGTTTCACTTTAAGTTCATGACCTCAGCAGGACCTTAATGAAACCCAAGGATGGTACTTCGGTTTCCTGGTCCACTTACTGTTGCACTCTCACAGACAATACATGGTGTTATTTCTTTTCTCCTTAAATATCTGTAACATCTCCTATTCTTTTTGCTGATACTTCGCTTCCTACTTCACTAAGAAAACAGATACAATGAGAAAATTATTATCATTGTCTCTCACCAAATCCACCAACCAAATCACCTTTTCTTTGTTCTATTAATCTAGTCTCTACTCACATATTCTACATTCTCATCATACAGATGAACTGTCTTCATTCTATCAGAGCAATCCTTTTATTTGAGCACTGGATCCCCTTTTACCTCCTTAAGATTCTTTTTATAGCATTTTCCCCTTTCTTTCATCAACTTTTCTTTCACTACTAACATCTTATTCTCACCAGCTATTAAGACTTTGCATACTTACACGTAACTACTTACATGTTACCACTTATATGCTTGTAACAAAATAAAATGTCCTTTTGACTTAACAACACCTTTTAGCTCATTTTTAGAGCAAAACACCTAAGAATTGTTCATATTTGCTGTCTCCACTCCTAGTCTCGCCTAAGATTTTAGCTGCTTACTGGGTTGCCAAATTCATTCCATTCCTAGTATTCACCTTACTTATAGCATCACTGAACACATTTGAGGATTACCTTCTTCCCCAAAATATTTTTCACACTTGGTTTCCAGGGGAGAAAAAAACTATTTTTTTTATATACAATTGATGTTAAGAGGGCCTACATTACTAGCTATTACTTTATTGGTTCTTAATCTATAGAACTTCATGTTAGGCCTGTCCCAGAGTCAATCTTTAGACCTTATCTTCCATCATTACACTCACTCCCTTGTAATAAGAGTCTCATGAGTCTAAGCCCATCTACACCAATGGCTTGCAAACATGTCTCCAACATGGTCCTCCTATCTTGAGCTATTAATGTTAACGGATCAACTACCTAATTGACATTCAACATTTAGATGTCTAAAACCAAATGCTAGATTTTCCCTCCAATATATTCTTCATCTTATAAATGGCAACTCTACTCTCCCAGATATTCAGTTTTTTAAAAGTCGAACCCATGTTTGATCTCCCTTTCTCTCTCCTAGCATTCATTTCCAAACCATCAGTTAATTCTATCAACTGTACCTCCAAAATATATTTTCTTAGGGGCCCTCCCTGGTGCACAATGGATTAAAGCACAGTACTATGAAGCTAGCCACAGTCAATGCAGCACTAGTTCAATCCCCTGCCTGAGATGATCCACAAGGCATGCCAGACCTCACAAGGCATGCCAGACCTCTCCTGTGTCCCCCACTACTTCCCTCAGCAGTGTATTTCAGTTAAATCTGTCTGTTGTTCCCCACATTGTCTTTGGTGAATCCTTTCACCCACCCACTGCAGCCCCCCCCCCACACCTCTGGCCTGTACTCCAATTCTTACATGCATAAATAAATCTCTTTAAAAATTTTTGGGGGGCCCTCTCTGGTGGCACAATGGATTAGGACACAGCACTACAGCTGGCTGCAGCTGCTCCAGTGCAAGTTCTATCCCCTCCCCTGGAGATGATCCACATGGCACAGCAGACCTCTCCTGTCTTGCTTGCTGCTCCCCTCAGCAGTGTACTGCTACTCATCTGCCTACTCTGCTCCCCACTCTGTCTCTGGTGAATCCTCTCACTGCCTGTGCACTTCTGGCCTGTACCCCAGTTCTGTATGGATAAATAAATAAATCTTTAAAGAAATTCTTTTAAAAATTTTTAATTCTACCATTTCAATGATTTGTGAAAGCAGGGGAAACATAATTTTTGAACATTCTGTTAATAGAGAACAACACCAAAACCAAGGATAGCATTCAGAACCAAACTAGGCAGATAATATACACAATAATATTGAAAGTAGAGGCTACTTCAAATGATAAGCTGAAATACAGCTTATCAAAATATGCTAACTGAAATAAAAGACAGGAAAGGGCTCAAAAACTGAAGTTCAGAAAGGGAAAGTGCCTTACCTAAGACACATAGGTAATCTGTATTTTAAAATGCGTAATAATGGACATTGGATGAAAACTTTCTCAGATTACATGACTACTATTGGTAAAAATTATGAATGTGATCCTTCAGAAGACTTTTCCCCTCATGGGATTATATCATTAATTCAGTAAAGTTTATGAAAAGGGTAATTAGAACTGCAGTGGCGCTTCATTTTAAAATGTTTTATTTAACTTATAACTCCTTCCTTTTCTCCCCTGCCTCAGAAAATGTGGTATAAATAGACTTTGTAAGTATAAATAGACTTACAAAGATTGACTAGTCAACCAATTTATCAAATAGTAAATTCTAATCAGTTAGGACACTGTAAATTGTATTAGGAAAAGAGGGTCTAGGGAAGTCTGAAAGTTGGTACCTACAATTTGTAGTATCAAATTTCCACATAAAAATAAAGGTATCACACAAGACAATAAAAATCTCATGCCAACATTTACAACAAAACTAGGTGAAATGTCAAAATATAAGTGCTAGTATAAACCACCAACAACCATTAGATAAAGAGGTGTTATACAAATCCATGTAGGAGATAGAAATGTAAAACAATGTATACAGCATCTGACAAACCCCAAAATAAACAATAGCTGTTTACTGAAAAGTAATGGTAGGCAAATTTAAGAATGAATATAAAATACCTATGGTAAGGACTAAAACACTCTCACACAGGAAAGAGTCTTCTACAAGTGGGATAACATGTTTTATTTCATAAATCACAATTAACTAAAATTTTGCAATTAAAAAAAAAATTGGGCCCTCCCTGGCGCTGCGGATTAGGACACAGCACTGAAGGCGAGCCATGGTTGCTTCAGTGCCAGTTCGATCTCGGCCCGGGAAGCAATCCACATGGCCCAGCAACCTCCTGCTGCCCTCAGCAGTGTACTTCCCCGATCTACCTGTTCTGCTCCCCACTCTGTCTCTGGTGAAGCTTCTCACTGTCCCTGCACCTCTGGCCTGTTCCCCAGTTCTGTATGCAGAAATAAATAAATCTTAAAAAAAAATGAAATGAAGTTTGTTTTCCCTTACTAATGTGAAACACTTTGATTTTTCCATTCTAATCTTATTTTTGGCAAGGGAGTGAGGACATGACAGGATGCTGATCCCAAAACATAGTTGAAAAAAACCCCACCACAGTTTAACTAAAACCATATTAGTTAAGGTGTGCAGGTCTCGTTTCAAATCTTTATACTGCCATGTCTGAATTGTTACCTTTGGCAGACTACTTACCTTCTCTGTGTTTCAGTTTCCTCATTTATATTGCAAGATTCTTTAGGAAAGATGAAATTAGTTTATACACGGAAATTAAAATTTTGGCTGCAACATAGTAAGTGCTCAGTAAATGTGTGCTATCTTGTTCTTGGTCAAAGTCTAAGAATTTGAGTCCAATATAAGAAAGTCTTTGAGTTACAATCAGATATAATTAAAAAAAAAAAACAACACCCTGAAAACAAACTAGGAAGGGATATGTTGAATTCCATTTTTTAAATTCCATTTTCATTAAAAAAAAAAAAAAAAACTCTCAACAAATAACCAAAAGAAGTAATTTTTTTAAATTATAGCTTCAAGCATTGCCTACCTATAATGTCATTTCTCATTGCTTCTGTAATTGGTATTGGTTTAGCAGCATCTGGAGATATATATTTGGTAAAGGTATTCACTGCATCTTGTTCTATACCTGCAAGAAAACAAGGGGACAACTTCAAAAATCAAAAAGCAACTTGCATAAATAATGGATTATAATCACAAAGAGCAGGACTTTGTTTGCTGTGTACCCAAATACACATCCGATACATGTTTATTTTTGTATAATAAAACATATTATGCATAAGAATACATGCATAATATATAACTTTAGTCATTCTTTCATGTATTCATCCATTCATTCTACAGCAAATATCCATCATAATGTTGCTTTTTCATTATCTTCTGTAACAGAGAAGTTTTATGTCAATTACCCCTTCCACATCCCTAAGTGAACCTATTATTTAACAGCAACTTATGAACATTCTCTTTCTATGTCTCTTCTCCAAAGTCTCACTTTGAAGTTACATAGCAATATAAAAGTTAGAACTCAAAAACTGCCTATAAATCCACATTTAAAATATTAAATTATTTCATATTCATGAGAACATTCATCTCATTTTCAACAACCTTTAACATAGTTAATACAATGAAATGTCAAACTTTTTAATCTCAGAACTTTTTAATGAGTATGCTAAAGAGCTTCTGTTTATATGAGTTATAGCTAGAGATAAGTAAAAGAAAGAGTACTGACTGAGTTAAAAGCTAATACTATTAAACCACTAGAAGTTAACATAAACAATACTTTTAGTGAAAACTATTATCCAAGGAAAAGACACCTCTCATTTCATCACACACTAAAAAGAGATGTATACAGTTTAGATTTAATAAAATTATCTACTGCTCCACAGACATCTTTAAGTAAAAGTGCCATTTAGTTTTACTGGGAGTATTTGGCAGTGAAGAAAATATAATGACTAGAAGTAACTAGAAGTATTTTGTGGTCTGATGCCAGAAGATTTTCCCACATTGCTTTGCATCATCATTATAAATGTCAACACAGTAAAAAGACAAATCTTAGAATCATCACAAAAGTAGTTTTGGCTACATGGAGTCCTTCAAAAAGTAGGGGAACTTCCCCTTCCCCTCAAAGGAGTGCAAACTGTATTTTGAGAATTCCTGGATCAGCAGACTATTATCCCTGTTTTATAGAAAAATTAAAATGATCTATTTGTGTTAAGAAAGTACCAGATGGAAGAGGAAAGACCAGGGAAAAGTAAATGCATAGTTTTTAAGCAAATGAAATTGTTTATCAGCTTAAAATAGAGCACTGTAATTATAAGATCTTTTACTTAAGATTAATGGTAACCACAAAGAAAATACTTACATAAAAGAAACTAAAACATGTCACTAGAGAAAAATGACAAAACACACAGGAAGAGAGCAAGACAGGAAAAGGACAAAAGACACCAAGAAAAGAAGATGGTAAAGGCCTATATAATATTTATTACTTTAAATGTAAATGAAATAAATTTTCCGAAGGCAGAGTAAATAGATTTAAAAATCATAAGCAAGATGCCATTATGACTCACCTGAACTATAAGGACACACATGCTAAGTACAGG